TAGGTACAAGTAGGAAAACCTAAAAGTGTTGTACCCCATATTATCTACCCCACTACAGCCAACACACACTATAGCATATGAGTTTGACACACCCCCATAGGCAAAGTGGGGGAGAACAAGAGGTCACAAGACCAGTCAAGCAAAGCAAAGCAAGCTCAAGGTGGATCACAACGTCACCACACATTCCGAGCACAAGTTCAAGGCCACAAGGCCAGTTCACATGCAAGATCATATATAAAGGTAAACAAGCAAGTCCAGGTATAGAAAGATCACACTACAAGCAAGGTCAAGAAGTGAGCAAGGGAGGCCAAGTAGGCACAAGACCTAGCATCGTACACAAGCGCTAATGATCACAAGGTGGAAGTGCCTTGGTAAAGATATCAGCAGTGCTGGCCTCAGAGGCCACGTAAGCAAGGCGCAGCTGACCACGCTGCTGCAGCTCACGAGCAAGGAAGTAGCGAAGAGCAATGTGCTTCGTTCTGTGCTCCAGTCTGTGCTCCCGACACAAGGCCAGCATGGTCTTGTTGTCTACGTACAGAATTGGAGGAGAACGAGGCGGCTCTCCTAGGTCAGTCAGCAAGTAAACGAGCCAGCGTAGCTCTTGTGCAGCCATGGCCCCCGCGTAGATCCCAGCCTCACAGCTGGAACCGAGAACAGAAGAAGAGCGGGTAGACCGCCACGAAACAGAGCCGGAACCAAGGCTGAAGGTGTAACCCCGTGACGAGCGCTGCGTAACCTGGTCGTCAGCCCAAGAAGCGTCTGCGTGACCTGTGAGGATCACTCGACATCGCCCTCCGAGAACTAGCCCCATGCCCGAGGTACTACACAAGTAGCGCAACACCCTCTTTGTTGCAGCCATGTGCTCTAGTCGATGTCTCCCAGGAGCAACATAGCGTGCCAAGATGCTAAGAGGGTTTGCAAGGTCAGGTCGTGTGCAGGTCATCACGTACATGAGGCAGCCAACAAGCTCTTGATACAGGCCACTCGGCTCTACCGACTCATCCGAAGGGAGCGCAGAGAGCGAGTGGCGAGTAGGCAGAGGAGTGGCCTGAGGCGAGGAGTACGTGAAGTCAAAGTGCAGAAGGACCTGCTGCACCATGTGTGACTGAGTCAGGGTAATGGTGCGCTGTGCTCTGTCCCGGGTAATCTGCAAGCCAAGGTTGCTGCGCAGTTCACCCAGGTCTGTGCACGTGTGTCTCTTCTGCAGCTCGGACTTCACGTGGGCGAGTCCAGCAGTGTTAGCAGTGGCAAAGACCAAGTCGTCGATGTACACGAGGATGTAGAACAGTGGTAAAGAGGTGTCGGTGCGCAGAAACAGCGACGGGCCGGCAGTAAAAGGAGCAAACCCAAGAGCCGCAAGTGTAGTCCTCAGTGTGTCGTGCCACTTACGGGGCGCGTGGCGGAGACCGTAGACTGGCCGCCGGAGGCTCCACTGGGTACTAGGGGGAAACGACCCAGTGAAGCCAGGTGGGCGGCGCAGCCAGATCTCTTCGTGCAGGCTGCCCTACAAGAAAAATGTGCTGAACTCAAGAGAGTGAAGCTCGTAGTCGCGCTTAGCGGCTATGTGCAGCAGCACCCAAAGAGTGGTCATCTTCGGGGTGGGAGAGAAGGTCTGAAAGTAGTCAACTCCCTGCCGCTGACTGAAGCCTCGAGCCACGTAACGCGCCTTGAAGACAGGCGGAGAACCCGGCGGCCGCTTCACCCTGAGAATCCACATGCCACTAACAATGTTCGCCCCAGGTGGGGGAACCTCGTCGACGTAGGTGCCTATGGACTTCCAAGAAACCATCTCTGCGTCCATGGTTGACTGCCACTGTGAGGAGTAGGGACCCTCGATCGCCTCAGCGTACAATCGAGGAGTCGGGATGTCTGGTGCATCCGGGTCTCCCTCAGGGGCAATCAGCGTGGACACGAGATGAGGCAAAGCAGCAGCATAACACTAGAACTTCTCCTGCCTGTCCTCAAGGACGTCCGTGCTAAAAGCACACTCACCCCCAACGGACGGAGGACAGAGAGACTCAGACTCAGCAACAAGACTAGTGGCGTAGTCTAGACGACAGCGAGCAGCAAAGTCGACAAGCTCAGGAACCAAGGCAGACGCAGTAGCGGACTCAAAGGAAGGGTCAGTGACAACAGTAGCCAGAAGACGCGTGAGAGTAGGACTGGAAGCACGAAGAGAGTCAGACTCCGGGTCAGCAAGGACATGAAGAGAGGACTCTGGAGGAGACGGCAGAGGGACACGCTGAGGAGCAGTGGAAGGACACTGTGCCATCTGGTGCGTGCTAGGGACAGGAGGAGGACGCGGACGCGGAGCACGACTACTAGTGCGAGCAGCACAAATAGGCGACGCAGGATGAGACGCAGGCTCACGACGCTTAGCAAGACCTCCAGTATGACCAGTGTGGGGAGAAGGAGCAGGCACGAAGGAGGCGGGCTGTAACTGTGACCGCGTCTGGACAGGCTGTGGACACTCTAAGGGAGGAGCAGGACCAGTAGAGGGCGGGAGACCAAGAACCTGCTCAAGGAGCGGAGCGAAGTACGGCCGCGGCCGCGCTGCGCCTCCTGAACCAGCAGGGAGAGCACCAGTACCCCGAGCGGCAGCACCAGCACCAGCAGCACCTCCAGCTCCAACAGCGTCAACTCCAGCACCCTCAGAAGCACCAGCGCTAGCAGCACCTCCAGCGCTAACACCCCCAGCAGCTCCAGTAGCAACTACTCCAGCAAGACCGCCAGCTCCAATACTGCCAGCTGCTCCCGAGGTACCTCCAGCAGGACTAACTCCAGCAGCCCCAGCAGCACCCCCAGTCCTAGCAGCTCGAGTATCGCCTGTACGAGCACCTCCAGGACTAGTGGCTCCCGTAACTCCAGTGCCGACCCTAGGGTCAGCAGCAACCGTAGCACCTCCAGCTCCAGCAGCACGGCTCCAGCGCTGGGAAAACCACTCGACAGCTCCTGCGGAGAGAGGAGCTCCCGCCTCGATGAAGGACCGCCAGAGGCCACACGAGCAGACCCAGCACCCCCAGGCTCCGTACCCCCAGGCTCTGCACTCCCCAGCTCCGCAACCCCACGCTCCGCACCCCCAGGCTCAGCACCCCCAGACTCAGCACCCTCAGGCTCAGCACCCCTAGACCCAGCACCCGAAAGCTCAGCACCCCTAGCAGCACCAGAGTCAACAGCTACCTTGACAGGCTCGATTGCGTCTACCTGGGACACACGTGACAGGGCAGGACCCTGAGGGGGGAGAGGGTCTACCGGGAGAGGACTTGGCGCAAGGAAGAGCGGCGACGGGGGGAGGGGCGCAGTGCGGTAGGGGAAGAGACGGTAGTATGGCACCGACTCGTCAAACGTGACGTCGTGGGCGTCACGGGGGAGGCCAAGGAAGACGCAGGGAACCGCACAGGGGCACAGCTTGTCCGCAAAGAAGTCGCGGACAAACGCCCGAGATCCCTAGACACAGAACGCAAACGCATCGCCAACCTTCCCCGTCCACCTCAGGGTGGGGTAGGTCTCTGGCAAGGAGACTCGGGGCTGAAGAATGATCTGATGCGCTGCGTAGCGAGCCGCAAACGGCCACGAAAAATGGGGAGCAGCCGCATGGATTATGGACGTACGAGCAACGTCTATGACCATGCCAATGTGGCGCTAAGCAATCCCATTTTGCTGTGGAGAGGCCGGAAGCGTGAACGTCTTGCGGATGCCCTATGAACGACAGAAGGCTCCTAGAAGGGCAGAGGAAATCTCCCCGCCTCTGTCAGAGTGCGGACGGAGAACAGGAAAGTCCGAGCCGAAACTCTATCTAAGCCGGAGACGAGCCGCGCGGATACACTCGATCAACACCTCAGTGACGTCACCCTTGCTGCGCAAGGGGAACACTGTGGTGTAACGCGAGTAGTCGTCAACCACCAACCGGAAGTAACGCTCGTGACCCTTGCCACGGACGCGGGCGGGGCCCCACACGTCCATGTGAAGAGTCTGCAGCGGAGCCTCTGTCGGAGGAAACTCGGAGGAGTGAGGGGCGGCGCGCTGCCGCCCCTCGACGAAGGGAACGCAGGTAGGGGCAGGCCCCGGAGGGAGGGGAGGGAGGGACCGGGGGAGACCAGAGACAAGGACACAGGAGGCCATACCTCGGAGACGAGGCAGGGAGGGGTGACCAAGACGGTGGTGCCAAAGGAGAGTCTGGTGGGACAGGAGACGACACGAGCAGGGAGCAGACTCAGGACCAGACCTGGACGCTGCAGCAAATACCTGACTCGACGCAGCTACCTGACCAGACTCAGCAACCGAAGGGGACTCAGTTGTCACTGTGTCGGCCCGTCCAAGCATACATATAGTGGGTCACCCGCAGACCCGCAGGAGTCAACTGGTTTACCCCTCGATCCTGTAGGTCAGCACCACTCACCAAGTTTGTAGAGAACGAGGGGAGGTAGAGACGTGACAAGGTGCCAGAGGGGGGTTGCCGGACACAGTAAGACAGTGGAGAAGCAAGCAAAGACAAGACCCCCAGAGGGGTCCGCCAGGGAGACCGCAACCAGCCGACTAAGCGGCGAAAGCGTGGTGCGGTCTCGAAAGAAGGAGCGGGAAGCACCCGAGTCAAGGGTGTGTAAGGCCTAAGCCGACGTAGTACCTGAGAGAGCAGACTCACCAGCACCTGGGGCAGCAGACGCACGAGCACCTAGAGCAGCAGCCTCACCAGCACCTAGAGCAGCAGCCTCAATGCCCGGGTCAGGCGGAACACACAGGTAACAGACACCCTCATCACTAGTAGACACAGCATACATGGCAGCAAGAATAGCATCATAATCAAGATCAAAGATAGCAACCCCCGCCCTAGACAGCTCTCCCCAGCAGAGGATCTCAGTGGCGTCAGGGAACTGGTGACGCCAAGCGTCCGTCAGGCGGCAAAAGCAGCGCTGGGTGGAGTGCAAGCCCCCGCACTGCTCACCTGCGCGGTCGTCGGTACGGAGGACGTAGGTAGAGGGACCAGTACCCCCACCTTGCTGATGCGCAGTGTACCACTCACGAAGCTGCTCGGGGGACGGGGTCTCACAAGTGCGCTGCTGCAGCTGGCGCGGACCACCACCGGAGCCACTCTTCTGCGCAGAGTGGCGACCAGCTCCACTGCTGTCGCCGCCACCTCCGCCACCTCCGCCGCCGCCGCTCCCACCGCCACCGCCGCCGCCTCCTCCGCCTCCACTGCTGCCACCGACACCTCCACCCCCGCCACCACTCCCACCACCACCCCCACCCCCTCCATTGCCTCCACCGCCACCTCCACCGCCCCCGCCAGCCTCTCCAGTGCCCTTGCCCCCCTCTCCCTTGCCGGTGCGGCGTCTCCTGCTAGGCGCAGATGCAGCTCCGACCGACTCGAAGCCAACGTGGTCGACGGCAGCAGCAGAGGCAACAGAGGGCTACAGGGGGAAGGGCGGCGACGGGAGCACCCCTCAAAGAAGGGGGCACGAGGGTCATCACAAGAGGCTCCTAAAGCAACTATACTCTTCTCAGCTGCTAGGAGGCGCTCCTCGAGGAGGTCAACGGTGAGTGTGGTGGGGCAAGCAGAGAGGAAGTGGTCCCTGACCGAGCGAAGGGAGTCAGGGAGCCGGGTGACTTTTTAGTAGAGGGTGATGTACATGGGGGGGGGGGGGGGGGGGTTCTTGGCGCAGAACTCAGTAGGAAGCGCAGCTGGTAGCAGGTTTCACTGGTCTGAAGGTGCGTAATGAGGTCAGCGACAGTGAGAAAGGCGGCGAGGTCAGGAAACATGTACGGCAACATTAGGCGGCTAAGGGCAGCATTGGCAGGGGAACAGTAGCGTGCAACTACAGCGTCGTACAAGGTCTTAGCACTCTTGTACTGACTAAAGTGCGCACGCTCACTGGTCGGTACGTGGCGACGCACAGCAAGACGGGCAGCAGGATCGCGAGTGGCCCACAGTGAGCAAATAGTGCTGTCAGCATCAGCAGGCGGGGCAGGAGAGGCACTAGAGGTGAGATCGAACAGGGAGAGTCTGTTGGGTGCAAATTCACATTGCACGACATCCTGCCGTCTGTTTGTACGAGTATGCGTGTGCGAATGCAATTGGGTTTGAATGGAATGTTCGTGTGTTTGTTTGCTTTCGCAATTTTCGCTTGAAGCATTTGCAGGTACTCGCGCATTGTGCGCTTCGGCATAACATTGTACGCGCTATGAACAGTACAAGCAGAAAGGACGAGCTCGCAAAGGAACCCAAGATGGAAGCTTTGCGGTTCGGCTTACTTGATTGCGCAGATTCAGTTCTATCCAACTCAAAATTGTACTGTTTTGTTTGGTTGACTATAGTGTAGCAGGGCAGGCACTATAGGGGTACAATTTAGGTGAAGGTTGGATGTTGTTTGTCTGTATCTGCATGCTACAGGGCTAGGGGAAACCAGCGGAACCAGCATTTGGCTGGTTGGGCAAAGACAAAACAGGTTCTGTTTTTAGGACCTGAACCTGGTTGTTGTTTTCCTAGGTTGGAAAAACAGAACCAGAGGTTGTTTACCAGCCTACCACCTGCTGTTTTATCCAGCCAGGTTGGTTCTGTTGCTTGGAATTATTTGGGATCATCCCTAGTTGTTCCCAGGTTTATTCCCAAGGTCCTTGCTAGCTAGAACTATATATTCCTTCTCTGTTTGTACCTGAAAATAGTCAATTTGATTCAAGCGAATTCCTCCCTTCCTGGAATTTCCTTTCTACGCGGTGCGATGGCGGAATGCTACCCGAGTCAATGCTAGTACGCTAGCACTCTAGTGCTAGGCAAACGCTGTCCGAGCCATAACTTCGTAATGGCAGAACTTCTCGCAAAGCAACTTGGCTCATTTTAAAGCTCTTGGAGCGACCTTCGATATAGGAAATTCTGAGCTTAATCTGATCGACGGTCTGCACGATACGCTGCGCGACGTTCAAGGTAGTCTTGCTATTTTGACTAAGTCCCTCTTGATCCCTCTCTCTACAAACTCGGACCCGAGGATAGGGGCTGGTCTTGTACCAGGCACCCAAGGACCCTTGGAGGTGACCCCGAGGAGAGTTTTTAAGTTTGATAAAATCTTAATAGCTTGAGTTCATTAGGCCCTTACACCAACAGAGTCCGTCTGCCCTATCGCACTGTAGGAAGAGCTGTAGGTCATTGACCCAGACCTCGAAGTCAACAGCACGACCCTCAGCATCAAAGGTAAGGACACTGGGGGTAGCCATGACAGCAGTAGTCTAGCAGGGAGTGCTCTCACTAGTCCGGGTGGGTAGGGCCAGGGCGCGCCGGAAGGAAGAGGGCGGGAACCGCGGTGGCAGCGGCTCGGCAGCGGCTTGGTAGTGGCGGCTCGACGGCGGCCTTGGCGGCTCAGCGGCTCTGCGGCTCGGCTGCTGGGTGGCCCGGCGGCTCGGCGGCTCGGCGGCTCGGCGGCTTGGCTGCTGGGCGGCTCGGCGCCTCGGCGGTTCGGTGCTTGGCTGCTCGGCGGCTCGGCGGCTCGGGTGTTGGGCGGCTCGGCTGCTCGGCTATTCGGCTGCTTGGTGGCTCGGCTGCTCGGCTATTCGGCTGCTTGGCGGCTCGGCGGCTCGGCGGTGAAGGGGTCGGGGAGCGGCCGAAAGGGGCAGCAACGGGGCCGAAAGGGGCGGTGACGGGGCCGCTAAGGGCGGCAACAAGGCCACAAGAGGGTGGCGACGGGGCCGGTAGGGGCGGCGACGGGGCCGCGAAGGGCGGCGACGGGGCCGCGAGGGGCGGCGACGGGGCCGCTAGGGGCGGCAATGGGGCCGCGTAGGGGCGGCGACGGGGCCGGTAGAGGCAGCAACGAGGCCGCAAAGGGTGGCGACGGGGCCGCGTAGGGGCCGCTAGGGCCTTGAAGGGCGGCGACGGGGCCGCTAGGGGCGGCGACGGGGCCGCGAAGGGGCCGCGAGGGGCCTGGAAGGGCGGCGACGGGGCCGCTAGGGGCGGCGACGGGGCTGCGAAGGGGCCTCGAGGAGCCTAGAAGGGCGGCGACGGGGCCGCTAGGGGTGGTGACGGGGCCGCTAAGGGTGGCGCGAGGGGCCGTGAGAGGAGCCTCTAGGAGGGCTCGACAAGAGGGCGGCCCACGGGGCGCGCCTCGCGCAGGGGCGACTCGCGCTCCGGTTAGAAAAAAAAAATTCTATTTCAGTGGTGGGCCCTAGAAAGCGTTCCCACTAGGGAACCTGCTCTATACCATATGAAGAAATGAGGAATGAATGAACTAGCAAAGAGGTGGGTACAAGTAGGAAAACCTAAAAGCGTTGTACCCGATATTGTCTACCCCACTACAGCCCACACAAACGATAGCATATGAGTTTGACAGTGGTTGGTACCAGAAGCAAGTGTGTTACTTACCCATATGGTTGGTACCAAGAGTAAGTACGTTAATTACCCATATGGTTGGTACCAAGAGTAAGTGCATTACATATCCATATGGTTGGTACCAAAACTAAGGGCGTTATTTATCCGAATAGTTGGAACTAAGAGAAAGTGCGTTATTTATCCATATGGTTGGTACCAAGAGTAAGGGCATTACATACCCATATGGTCGATACCAAGAGCAAACGCGTAACTTACCCATTTACTTAGTACTAAGAGTAAGTGTGCTATTTACCCGTATGGTTGGTACTAGGAGTACGTGCGTTACATACCTATATAGTTGGTACCAAAAGCATGTGCGTTATACCAGTAGTAAGTGCGTTACATACCTATATGGTTGGTACCAAAAGAAAGTGCGTTATTTACCCATATGGTTGTTACCAAGAGTAAGTGCATTACCTACCCATATACTTGGTGCTAAGAGTAAGTGCGTTACATATCCATATGGTTGGTACCAAAAGTAAATGCGCTATTTACTCATATGACTGGTATCAAGAGGAAGTGTGTTATATAAACATTTGGCTGGTACCAAAAGTAAGGGCGTTACTTACCCATATGGTTGGTACTAAGAGTATGTGCGGGACATATCCATGTGGTTGGTACCAAGAGCAAGTGAATTACCTACCCATATGGTCGGCACCACGAGTACGAGCGTTGCTTACCAATATGGTTAGTAATAAGAGTAAGTTATATACCATGTGGATAGTGTCACGTGTAAGTGCGCTACTTACCCATGTGGTTGGTACTAAGAGTAAGTGCGTTATTTACCCACAATGATGGTACTAACAGTAAGGACGTTACATACCCATGTGGTTGGTACCAAGAGTACGTGCGTTATTTACCCATATGGCTGGTACTAAGAGTATATGTGTTACTTACCCATATGGTTGGTATCAAGAATAATTGCGTTACTTATCCATATGGTTGGTACCAAGAGTAAGTGCGTTATATACTCATATGGTTGGTACCAAAAGTAAGGGCTTTACTTATCCAAACGATTGGTGCTAAGAGTAAGTGCGTTACTTACCCATATGCTTGGTACTAAGAGTATGTGCATTACTTACCCATATGGTTGGTATCACGAGTAAGTGCGTTAGTTAACCATATACTTGGTACTAAGAGTAAGTGCGTTATTTACCTATATGGTTGGTACCAGGAGTAACTGCGTTACATACCCATATCGTTGGTATCGAGAGTAAGTGACGTATTATACCCATATGGTTGGTAATAAAAGTAAGTGCGAGATTTTCCCATATGGTTGGTACCAAGAGTAAATGCGTTACTTACCCGCATGGTTGGTATCACGAGGAATTGCATTACCTACCCACATACTTGGTACTAAGAGTAAGTGCGTTATTTACACATATGGTTGGTTTGAGCAGTAAGTGTGTTACATACCCATATGGTTGGTACCAAAAATATGTGCCCTACTTACCCATATGGTTGGTACCAGTGGTAAGTGCGTTACATACCCATATGGTTGGTACCAAAAGTAAGCACGCTACTTACCCGTATGGTTGGTACAAAAACTAAGTGCATTATTTGCGGAGACAACTTTTGCAACGCGAGCTACACTACGGGCTAGGCATGGATGCTCAGGTGATCTCTTTGTTTGTTCATTCCTGAGTCGTTAATTTGTGCTCAAACTAATTACGTATTGACAAGAAAAAGTTGGCAAGAGTTTCACTAGCAAGAGTTTACGAAACGAAAGTTCAGAATGATAGCAACAAGGTTGGGAAGACTAACTACATAAGAGCTAGCATGTAAGTCGGTCAAATGCCAGCACAGCACGGTCGACCGTGTTCCAGCGCTGCATGTTCGGCCGAGTTCTAGCAGGACAACATTGCGGCTTGACAATGCTGCAAGTCAACGGCGTGCCAACGCTGCAGCAAGGCGGCTGCACAACGTTGCACCCGCAGGTCAGTAGCACACCCACTTTGCAGGTACCCGCAGATGATTGGCGTGCCGTGCCTTGTCACCTGCACAGCGCATACACCAAATCGTCCTTGTGCTGATGACTACACCTAATAAGCCACGTGGACCTTGCTACAAACACCTAGTCGACCAGGCAACCACATTGACCAGCTGCTCCTTCACGTGCCCGTCGACCACCTAAGTCGACGACCAGTTGGGTGCAATTTCACATTGCACGACATCATGATGTCTCATTGTACAAGTATGTGTGCGCGAATGCATTTGGGTGTGAATGGAATGTTTGTGTGTTTGTTTAATTTCGCAATTTTCGCTTGATGCATTTGCAGGTACTCGCGCAATGTGCGCTTCGGCACAACATTGTACGTGCTATGAACAGTGCAAGCAGAAAGGACGAGCTCGCAAAGGAACCCAAGATGGAAGCTTTGCGGTTCGGTTGAAGTGATTATGCAGATTGAGTTCTATCGAACTCGAAATTGTACTGTTTTATTTGGTTGACTATAGTGTAGCAGGGCAGGCACTATAGGAGTACAATTTAGGTGAAGGTTGGATGTTGTTTGTCTGTATCTGCATGCTACACTGCCAGGTGAAACCAGCGGAACCAGCATTTGGCTGGTTGGGCAAAGACTAAACAGGTTCTGTTTGTAGGACCTGAACCTGGTTGTTATTTTCCAAGGTTGGAAAAACAGAACCAGAGGTTGTTTACCAACTTACCACCTGCTGTCTCGTCCAGCCAGGTTGGTTTTGTTGCTTGGAAATATTTGGGATCATCCCTGGTTGTTCCCAGGTTGATTCTCAAGGTTCTTGCTAGCTAGAGCTATTTATTCCTTCTCTGTTTGTACCTGAATATAGTCAATTTGACTCAA